TCCTACGTGTGCATATGCATGCATATTTGTATAGATATTGTGTTATATATATATATATATATATTAATACAAAGTAAACAGATTAAAGTGTATGTATATAATATATTTATATACCTAAATACAGAAGAAATCTATTAAAGTGTTTGCATATAGGATATATTTATATTATAAATACAAACAAATTAACATATACACCAGATAAGTAGAAGCTGCTAATAAATGCATACAGAGATCTCTCTCCTTCAGCTTCTCTAAGCATTGCAACTAAGTAGAGGCTGCGTTTGTTATGCTGTTGCTGTTGATGTTGCTGTTGCTGCTGCTGCAGCTGCTGTTGCTGCTGCTGCAGCTGCTGTTGCTGCTGCTGCTGCTAGTGTCCCTGTAATGCTGCTGCTGTGTGTAGCGCTGGTTGAGCGTCGTGCATGCGTTTAAGCTGCAAAGGCCTTTAATAAATAAAATAAATTATTTAAATAAACAAAAAAAGTAAACAAATTACATAAATAAAAAAGCTGCAGCAGCAGAAGGCAGCAGGGCCTCAACTGCTGCTGCTGCTGCTGCTGCTGCTGCTGCAGCAGCAGCGCAGGCGGGAGGGTGGCGATGCTGCTGTCTTTCTTGGCTTCTTCTTCCCTTCTTTTTTATAAAAAGAAGTTATTTATTATATTTAAAAGGGTTTATTTATTATTTTCTTTAATTGCACACTCAAACTGTTTTAAATTTTAAAGAAGAAGACAGCAAACAACATACACAGAAGGCAGGGCCCCCCAGCTGCCGCTGCAGCATTCTGCTGCTGCTGCTGCTGCTGCTGCTGCTGCTTCTTTTTGGGTGTATGTACACCTCCTCCCCGTTGTGTTGTTGCTGCTGCTGACTTGCAGCAGCCTAAAAAGCCCCACATATTCTTATTTCTGTCTACAGACTGCGAGGCAGCGGACACAGAGCAGCAGCAGCAGCAGCAACAGGAGTAGCAGCAGCAGCAGCATCAGCACCAGCAACAACAGCAGCAACCGCAGCAGCAGCATAGGGAACATCAGCAGCGTGCAGCAACAGCACCAGTACCTCCACGAAAGAGCTAGCCAGCTGAAGAGCCCTTACACAGTCCACCCTGCTGCTGCTGCTCGAAAGCGATGCCTTGCTGCTTGACTTGGCGAGCTTAGCGAATTGTTTGCTGCAGGGTTTGCTGCAGCAGCAGCTCCCTGCTACAGCAATGCAAGAGTTGCTGCTGCCGGGTGTATCTCTTGAGAAGGCAGCCATCACCTGCGCCGAGAATGCGCTTCAGCAGCAGCTTGTGCAGCAGCAGCAGCAGCAGCAGCAGCAAGGGAAGGGCGCAGCAGCAGCAGCACGACGTGCTGCGGAGTTGCTGCAGTGCCTTCAGGGAAGAAAAACAATACTGACGGACCCCGAAGGCGCAGCAGTTCCTGAGGCAGCAGCAGCAGCGGCAACAGAAGCAGCAACTGCTGCAGCGAACCAGCTGGCAGCAAGCTCGTGTTGCTGCTGGAGTAAGGACCCCGTCAGAGCTGCCGCGGATGCGCAGCACTGCACCAGCAGCAGCAGAAGCAACAGCAGCAGCAGCAGCAGCAAAAACAGCAGCAACGGGGTGGCAGGTCTTGACCGGGAGACAGAGCTTGCATCTGCTGCAGCGGAAACATCTACTGCAACAGATACAGCAGCAGCAGCAAGAACAACAGCAACAGAAGCAGCAGCAGCAGCAGCAGCAACAGTTGAAGGGTTTCAGTTGCTGCTTCAACGCCTCCTTGCATGCACAAAGCCTCACGTTGGGGCTTTGAGGCAGCTTCGTCGCTGCTGCAGCGGCGAAATCGCAGTGGTTTGCTGCAGCAGCAATGGGCAGCTGCTGCAGCAGCTGCTGCCGCTGCACTTGCTGCTCGATCGGAGTACGCACGCTGTAGCTGCTGCTACAGCAGCCTCTTCACCAGCAACTGCAGCAGCAGCTGCTGCTGCTGCAGAACCCCTGCTGCGCTCCTGTCATCTGCTGCATCTCAGCAGCAGCAGCTCAGCGGACTTTGCTGCTGCTGTTGGGCGGATTGCTGCTGCAGTAGCTGTTCCATCTGCAGCAGAAGCAGCAGCAGCAACAGCGAAGACCTGCTGCTGCAGCAGCTCGTGCTGCAGCAGCAGCTCCATGCAAAGACAGGACCAGCAGCACGCGCAACTCCCTGTTGTTGTTGCTGCTGCTACGGCGCCTTTCGCTCGCCTTGCTGCTGCAGCAGGTGAAACCCCACAGCAACCCGTTCGTGCTGTTGCTGCTGCTGTTGCTGCTGCTGTCTCGCCGCGGCTGCCTTGGTTGCTGCTGTGGCTGCTGCTCCTGTCCCTACCCGGTTGGAAGTGCTGCTGCTGGTGCTGCTATTGTTGTTGTTGTTGCTGCTGCTGCTGCTGCCTCTTTCAGGCTTTACTGTCTTTGCTCCACTGCATGTCAAAGCGGCTGCAGAGCAGCAGGAGGTGTCCCTTGAGCAGCAGCAGCAGCAGCAGCAGCAGCAGCAACAACAGCAGGTCAAGTTGCTGAAGTGCTTGGAGTGTATGGACATCGACTCGTTGCGCAAGACGTACGGACTGCAGGCCCCGCAGCAGCAGCAGCTGCAGCAGCAGCAGCAGGATGATGATGAGATAGCCCCTGTATACGGAGAACGCGTTGTGCCGCTTCGCGCCTTGGAGTGTCTGAACAGCAGCACCTGCAGCAGCAACTCAGCACCTTCACAAACGGCAGCAGCAGCAGCAAGAAGAAGAAGAACGTGGCAAGGCCTGCTGCGCTGCGGTTGGGGCAGCTGCTTTCTGCTGCAGCAGCCGCTGCTGCTGCAGGGTGTTGTAGTACGTGGCTTTGGCAGAGGGAGCTCTCTCCTAGGTATCCCTACAGCAAATATTTTGCTGCAGCAGCAGCAGCAAGAGCAGCAGCAGCAGCAGCAGCAGCAGCAGGAATCCGACGCGCCAATGGACCTGCCCCTTGCGCCCGGTACCTCTCTCCTTTGTTGCTGCAGTGGCTGCTGTTTCTGCTGCTTTCCCTGTGCTGCTGCTGCTTTTGCCTTGGTTGCTGCTGCTGCTGCTGCCGCTGCGGTTTCAGGTCATGCTGCAGCTGCAGTTGGTGCAGCTGCAGTCTGACTCGCGCATTGAAAAGAGTTGCTGCTGCGGTGGTTGGGGTGCTGCTGCTGTTGGTGACTTTGCTGCAGCATTGTTCTCTGTTGCTGCTGCTGCTGCTGCTGCTGCTGTTTCAGGTGTATACTTCGGCTGGGCGGAACTCGTTCCCCCTCCCACTGCTGCTCTTGCCCCTGCTGATGCTGCTGCTGCAGCACCTGCTGCTGCTGCTGCTGCTGCAGGGGAGGCCTCAGCAGCAGCTTGCAGTGTCTCCTCAGGGAGTGTGGGGCCGTGCAAGGCGGTGCTTTCTTTTGGATATAATCCTTACTTCGGCAACAGCAAAACGACGCTGGTGAGTCTCTAAACCCTAAACCCTAAACCCTAAACCCTAAAACGATGGTTTTAATGAGGTTCTGTTATTTGCTGTTGAGGGTTTATGAAGGCGTGGAGGCAACCAACATCTGTTGAGTGCTTTTGTAGGGTTTAGGGTTTAAGGGGGCTTCAAGATATTCTTTAGGATTTGTCTAGGGTTTAGGGTTTAGAGACACAGCATGCAGCAAGTGCATGCATGCAGCAAGTGCATGCATGCAGCAAGTGCAAGTGCATGCGTTTGTTAATTTTGGGGCTTTATTATTATTTCTCAGGAGGTGCATTTGTTAGCTGCCGGCGTTGGCATTATACGAGGGAGACAAATAAAAATTGCTGTCTGCGGTTTTCTTCGTTCTGAAGCCTCCTTTGCTTCCTTCAGTGAGGCTGTTTGTCTCTGTCTTCTCTTTCTCTCTGTTCTTCCTGCTGCTGCTGCTGCTGCTGCTGCTGATACTGCTGATGCTGCTGCTGCTGCTGGTACTGCTGCTGATGCTGCTGCTGCTGGTGATACTGCTGCTGATGCTGCTGCTGATGCTGATACTGATGCTGCTGCTGCTGCTGTTGTTGATACTGCTGCTGATGCTGCTGGTGATGCTGCTGCTGCTGATACTGTTGTTGCTGGTGTTTGCTGCTGGTGTTCTTCATCTTGTCTTTCGTTTTTGTCTCTTTATTATTTTTATTTTCTTATTTATTTGCGGTGCACTGAAGAGACTCCCTTTGGCTGTTTTGCTGTCTCCTTTTGTATACGTCGTTGGGTGTCTCTCTTTTTCTGTCTCTGTCTCTCTCTGTCTCTGTCTCTCTCTCTCTCTCTGTCTCTCTCTCTCTCTTTCTCTCAGTCTCTGTCTTTTTCTGTGTTTATTGCTGCCTTTCTTTCTTTCTCTCTGTCTCTGTCTTTATCTT